TGGCTCTATCCTATGGAATTTTCGGATTTGTAGTTGCGGCAGCAGAACTCTCTGATAGAGAAGGCTAAATATCCCATAAAACTGCAAATTCCAGAATTCCATACTATTGAGCCGTGGCAGTTAAAGCAGTGTCAAACTGCATCATTTCTAATGTGAAGTCGTAGGCTTTCATGGCCGGCATTCATAGTTTTTTTGTGGGTTTTTCGGGCTGTGTGGCCATGTTCTAGAAGAGTTTCTTTCTGACGTTTCACCAGCATCTGTGTCTGGCATCTTCAGAGAATACTGGAATGGAAGGGAGTGGGTCTGTAATATGGCCACACAGCCCGAAAACCTCACAAAAAACTATGCATCATTTCTGCAATGCGGATGCAGCCTTAGTTAAGTATCTGCTACAAAATTCTGGCTATTCTCATCATTGTGTTCCCAGCCAAGGTATTTTATTTGAGCTATTAAAATTCCCCTAAACATATCCATTTGTGGCTACCCTCCTGGGACCCCAGCATTTTGGGTAACAGTGGAATCTTGTCCTTCCCTGTACAAAAGCAAACTGCTGCAGCATCTCCTTGCTTACGTGTTTCTCCTCATGAATTCCTTTTGCCATCTTGATCACAGTCTGATGTTGCTTGGTCACAGATGTTTTGCTTTTCATCTGTCAAATATTGGAGGGTATGTCTTTCCATTCCTGTTTCAGACTGACGTTTCCTGACCCTTATCTAGAAACACTAGCAACAGGACCTGGGGACTGCTAAACAGAAACCATTCCACCCTCACTTCTTTCTCACCTTAGCTGGGATTCCTAACAGCGATTATCATTTCACATCAAGCCATTTAAATGTGAAATAATTGGAGATACCCCCCTGTGCAACCTATGCTCGGCTTAACAAGGAAATGGATCAAACCCATCAGCGGATTTGTTCTGCCATTGCCAACATTGCTGAAGGCACAGGCATTCATTGCCAGATGCCTTCTTGCCTGCCAGTTTCTCTCTTCCAATTGCTCCCCAGCTCCCAGCTTTCACCACAATGACACTCTGCCTGAACAAGAAGTGCATCTCACACTCATCCTGGTTATCACTGTTTCTTTTTGACTATGGTGCATCCATTCCCTGTTTCATCTGATCTGGGCAGGTAAGGAGCATAGAGGAAGCTTTGAAGGCAGGTAGCTCTCAGCTGTTGCAGGGAGTTGAGAAAGGGGGGGGCAAGAAACAGATTGATCTGTTCTGTGGCCAGATAAAACTTGCAAAAGGATGTCAATCTTTTGCTGTTTTTCACTTTCTGACACATTCTTCCAGCTGTTCCCACGGCCCTCATTTTCAATTCTGATTTAAATCCAATGAATATTTTAATATCAAACTGTTATCTCACAAGGGAAGAAGCCACATTCTCTTCCTAATGGCACCTTCAAATGTCCTGTACCTTTGTTGGGTAGTGGCAGTTGTAATGGTGAGGGTTTCTACACAGTCAGTCCTCCACATTCACTGGGTTTAGGGGCTCAGGACCTCCATAACAGTGGAAAAACTGGAAATGAGTCTAGACCCCTCCAAACTATATTTAACACATACAAAAAGTACAATCTGCAGACTCAATCCACCATGGATGCAGTTGAGGAGGTGGGGTTCGTTCCCAAGGCAGAAGTGGGCATTTGCTGCCATCTAAGCTGCTGCCCTACACTATTTTTAATATAGGGACTTAGAAGCCCAGTTCTTAGTCTCACGTGGCTTCCAGTCTCTATTAAAAATGGCACAGGGCAGCAGCAGAAGTGGTAGCAAATAATCTGTGAATAATCCAATCTGCAAACATCCGCAAACATCTGCAAACATCAAACCCACAAATGTGGAGGGCCAACTGTATTTTCAAAGTGAGTTGGGGAAAGTGAAGTAGATGGGAACGAAAGGTGTGCACTTGTGAGTCTGTTGGTCTGTACCTGCTGGTCAGGGAGCTTCAGCTATATGTCTATCCAACAGACATTTTAGGTGATAAAGAATGGCTTTCTGATATTTCCTACAAGGATCTGGGGCAAGGCTATATTGGGCACTGCACAGCTGCACTGGAAATGTTAACAGAACTGTGAGCTTGTACTTTTTTGGAGTACAATTTCCAGATTCCTACAACCACCAATGGGCCACCAGACCTGGGTATTTATATTCTGGGGGGGGGGGGGAAGGTTTTCCAAGCTTTGAAATTTTAAACAACAGTCTACAAATGTCTGGATGGGCCAAATTTGGATTGCTGACACCCCAAGCTATGTCAGGTTTATTACTCTAAAAAGATTATGTGATTTCAAGACTAAGTGAGGTGAAGCTGTAAACAAAGGGTTGGCAAGCTGTGGTCTTGGAGGTGCATGTGGCCTCTAAGACTGTATTATACATGGTCATGGACACTTCTGGATTTTCCCCTCCAGGAAAGGCAATTCCCCCCTGCTAAATAGGTTACAGGATCTCTCTCTGCACTGTTTTACTTTTAAAATATCCCCATTTCCCAGAAATAGGAAGTGGACTTCCAATCACATCTGATTTTGTTTTGGGGCATTTTATACCTTCCATGTGTCCCCTGAGGTCCCTGGGGCAGAAGAAAAGGCCCCAGATCTTGCACAGTTGTCCACCCCTTAAACCAGGGGTAGGCAACCTAAGGCCCGGGGGCCGGATGCGGCCCCCCGAGGCCTTTGGACTAGCCCCAGACCAGTCCTGCCGCCGCTGCTGCCACCACCGCCGCCGCCCCCCCCACCATGATAATATTGATTACTGTTGTTATTACTTATTCTTGGGGTTTTCTTGGCAAAATCTCCACAGGGACTTTGCCATGGCTTTTCTGGGGCTGAGAGAGTGTGCATGCATATTTATTTATTTATTTATTTATTTTTGGTGCTTCGGCCCCCCAATTGTCTGAGGAACAGCAACCTGGCCCCCGACTCAAAAAGGTTGCCTACCTCTGCCTTAAACTGTAGCTCAGCTTAAATCTAACATTGCCATTTAGCATAGGGATACTAGACCATTTTGGCCAGTACCACTGTACCACTGAAAACTGAGTTATTTTTCAATCCTGTTGAGGAGGTGCAATCTGTGGAAGGAAGGTGTGTATGTGTGTGTCTGAAACTGTGCTCAGTTGTTGCAATATCCAGATGTTGTCTTCCCCTTCCTTAGTCAAAGGGGTTGCCCTTTGCAACACTAGTTCCAATTGTGGCAGTTTGGGTTGTGGATCTTTATCACTTGTGGATCTGAGGCTACCCAGTTCAATATTGCTATCTGTTCACTTTGCCGTCTCACACAAATGCACATGTACATTGCTCTGTGTGGCATCGATTTTTTTGCCTAGGGAACCCCTTGTAAGATGGCTGCATGCCAGGGCTTTACACCACTGCATGTTGTTTAGTCAAGTCATTTTAATACTTTAAAGGATTTATGAAGTCTCCAGCAGGAAGAGAATATCTTAGAAATGTTTCTCTACAGGAACCCAACATGATGGCGGGGAGGAAGCTGATAGCAGCAGCACAGGAGGGAAACACAGTTTGTTAATTTGAGGCTTGTGAATTGGACGGAGTGATTTTGAATTTTTTTATCAGAGTTTGTAGAAGGGCTTTTCCCTCTTCAGGCTATGACTCCCAGAATCTGCTGAACCTGTTTTAGGGGTAGAGTTCAGCACCTTGGATAACTCCTTTAATTCTGGATTAGAACTGAGAATGGATTCACTGCCCTACTGACATGGAAGCCATCAGCCACCCTTAATCCACTTTTGAAGGAGCCAATAACAACATCTGCCATTAGGGGGCAATAGTTGAAACTAAACATGTAATCTTCTGCAAATTCCCTTTGGCATTGTTATATACCTTCAAGTCAACTCCAACTTATGACAACCCTACCACAGGTTTTTCTTGGTAAGATTTGTTCAGAAGATGTTTACTATTGCCTTCCTTCTAGGTCAACCAATGGGCTTCTATGGATGAATGGGGACTCGGACCCTGGTCTCCTGACATCTGAGTC